CTATAGTATTCGTAGTTATTGTTCGTCTTTTTTCCCCATATTTTTAGTCGATCAATTGTATACACATACGAATACTGGCTTATACCAAAGAAATTCATAAACCCCAACAAAAAATTGCAAAATTCAATATTTTTATTATAAATCACCTCAAAACCAATAAAAAAACAAATCGAAAATACACAAATATATGCATATGTAACTACATGTTACTATATGTATAATAATGTATAGTAATGTATACAGTTTGTTAAACATTGTTTCACATGTAACTTGAACCAAATTTTTGACACCTTCAAGGAGAGGATCAATGGCTTTCACTAAGCTGCAATTACAAAATCAAAACAAAAAAAAATTACTTTAGTGCAAATCAACAAAATTTGAAGAAACATCGTAACACTCAAAAATCAACAAACACTAAGAGATCGAGAGATAGAGATAGAGGGGTTATTGCTGGGAAATGCTACATATTTTAATTCAAACAGACAGTGACTCTTCACCCCCTCGCCTCCTACCAAAACCCTAGGCGCCGCTAATAACCACCCACGGTTCCGCACGCCCATAAATGCAAAAAATTATAAAAATAAATTTGAGAACCTAAAAACAACGAAATTACCATCAAAATGTAGATCTCGACGAGAGGAATCCAATGGTGAGTAGCCCGTCAAATTTCGAATGGTGGAACAAAAAATACACCTCCGGCAAGACCACCGTCGTCGAATGAAAAAAAATTGCAGAAACAGATCTGCGCTCCAAACTGAATGAAATCACAACCAAAAGAAAGAGCTCGACGAGAGGAATTCAACGGTAGTTAAACCATCGAATTCCGACCACCGGAGAGAGAGTTATGACTCCGGGAAGCAATTTCGCCGGTGGGAGGTCTGTGGAGGCGGGATTTTGAATCTGGGAGAAGAAGAGAGAGACCGAAATGTGAGTGGCTAGGGCTTAAAACTGATTTTAAAAGGGTATTATAGGAACTTCAGGGTGGCCTAGGGGGGTATGTCAAAATATTTTCGAAATGAGGGGGGTTTCCCCTAAGGTGTAATCCAGTTGGTAGTTAGTTCTATATAATTTGGAAATGAGGGGGGTCTACAAAATAATCCCTATTTTTAATAGGTCAAACCCCCTCACAATTAGTAATTACTGAACTACCCCATAATTTCTAATAGCAATGACCCCCAACTGTTTTCCCCAAAAACTGCATATCTTCAACCATTTTCTCAAATTTCGTTATTTCTGCTATATTTGTGCCAAGAAAATCGCAAAAGAAAAATCTGCAAATATATCGGATCCTTTCCCAAACTCAATAATGCCCTAGTTTGCTCCATTTCTTCTTCTTCTTCAAAAAAAAAAAAAAACAAATAACATTTGTGTGAGAATCGTTAAGAAATACAAGTCGACAACAATGGTGAAAAGATAGCAAGAAGAAGACAGGTAGTTTCCTATACACCCATCGCTCCCCTCGACGTCTATTGACCTAATTTATGTACATTTACCACATAATTTCTGTTTTTGACACCCTTCTCAGCGACTTCGAAGGACAAATCGAAGTCTCCTACATAAACCGTATGCAATGGTACGCGATGACCATATGTGACGGTTCAGAATTCTTCCATGGTTGATTACTCAAAAATGGAGTTCAATTTGTAAACAAGCTTGTTTTAATAGATCTATAGATCTATGGTCGCACTATTAGTTGACTCATAAATATTTGATTCCTATGAAATTTGTTTTATCAGAGTCCACAACAAAGAAGAGATCATTGTTATCGAAAAGCATAACATATTGTAGTCATCTAGACTTAGAGTCAACTATAAAATCGGATAATTCACTATATTGTTCCCAAAGTCAACTATAAAAATTAGATAGTCAACTATAGTTTTTACAATGGCAGTCATAAAAAAATGGTAGTTAACTATATTGTTGCCAAAGACAACTACAAAAATTAGATAGTCAACTATAATTGTTCTGATGTCAACTATAAAAATATTGGCAGTCAACGATAATTTTTCCATTATTCGCTATATTATTTTTCAATTTAAGATATTACGGTATTATAAAATTGAACACTCATGATAAAAACCTCATCTCCGGTGAAAACATGAATTTGATAGAGTAGAAAATAGATTGATTTCAACGACAAAAGAAATGAGATGTAGAAGAAAAGGTAAAGTAATGAGAAAAAATAGAGAAAAATAAGGAGAAAAAATGAAACAGAAACAGACTAGAAGAGAGAAAACGAGGGAAGAGAAAGAAGAGAGAGAAGAGAGAGAGAGGAGGGAGGAGAGATGGAGAAAAAGAATAAAAAAAAAGTTACGAGAAGAGAGGAAATTGGGGAAGAGAAAGAAGAGAGAGAGAGAGGAGAGGGGAGAGAGAAGAATAAAAGAACAATACGACAAAAATGAGGAAAAAAAAGGGAAGAGAGAGAGAAAATATGAAATGAGAAAGTAGGAGAAAAATATGAACAAAAAAATGCACAATGGACATTAACATACACATAGGGGGTCACACAATTCAGAAAATATGAAATGAGTTTGTTTACAAATGGTCAATTATAAATTGAGCCCATGCTATATTATTTTACCTAATGAAGGGGTGATCCCTTATTTTCCGTTTTTAATATACTCTCTCCTTCCCTTAATACTTGTCACTTTTGCCATTTTTTCATATAACAAATTATTTGTCATTTTACTATTCAAATGAATAATTAATTGCATTTTTTCAATTTTGCCTTTTCTCACTCATAATTAATTGAAATATAATTATTTAAAAATCAATTAAAGGCATGAGAATTTTAGTGATTTACTATACTTTTTGTTATTATCTACGCATATTTATTGAAGTTCTTAATATATGTGTAACTAACAAAAGTGACAACTATTGAGGGAAGAAGGGAGTACCTCGTATATTTTTTTTTTGAAAAAAAACAACAGCAACTTCATTGATATTATTGAGAATCATACATTACAATAACCAAAATAGGTATATTAACTACTAAAATTAGTTCATTCACATGTGTTTAAGTAATTAGTAATTTTTAACAATGATTAAAATGTATTGGTATGGTAAATTCGATTTGACCCCGATTTAAAACCAAAAAAAAAAACACAAACTATGGATTGAGTTTAAGTCTACAATTGTAAAACTCAATTGGATGTGAGTTTGAACCGCTAATAGTAAAGTTCGATGGCAATTGAGTTTGAACCGCTAATCATAAAGTCCGACAATTGAGTTTGAATCTATCAAAACTCAGCTCACATGACATAAGTGCCAGCCCTACATACTCTAACTCAAAGTATAGTTATAAATATGATTGAGACTGGGTTGGGTCGATCAATTATCAGCCTAAAAATCGACTTATCCGATAAACCAATTTTGCTCAATATATGAAACCATTGCTGACCCAACATTTGATGGTCGGTTGATGATTGTCGATTGACAACCGAATATTTGGTTCCAGAATGGGTTGATTGGGTTATATCTATCACCTAGTTCACTTTATTAGTTTTCAAAATTTGGAGTTAAAATATGCCCATTTTGCGTTATGCCACTACACGATCATCATTTATCGATTCAAAATAATTAATAGCAATTTGACAAAAATATAATTCAGAAATTCAAAGTAATTAAGAAAACACACCCTTTATTTTATAATTAAGAAAACACACCCAATGTTAGGGATGGCAACGGGTCGGTTCTGGGCCGGGTTTGCCTAAACCCAAGACCCGACCCATGAAAAATATATAAACCCAAGACCCGCTCCAACCCGTTTTAGCTTAGACCCAGACCCGCCCCAACCCAAACCCTAATTAAACGGTTCTGACCCGCTAGACCTCCTAGACCCGTTAACATACAAAAAGTTTAATAATTTTTAACTTTCATAACATTTTGCTTATATATTTTTACGAAATAATCTCAATACTAAAATACAATATTTTAAAAAATCTCTACAAGTGATATAACATGAACAAT